AAAACAACAGTCAAGAATTAGAAGTACAAAACGAGGATTTGTAAAGAAGAATGTCAGAGGATTTCGATATAAGCCAAGAGGAGACTGGTTTTCCTTTGCTAAACAGTACAACAGTGAGCGCGAGCTACATTAAAGTGATTATTACGTTTTGAATATGGATATTTTTTCTTACAAAAACGCATCAATTCGCTACAGAAGGACTTTGTTCATCCCCCGGAGCCGTGTGAGACACTTCTTTATTATGGATGGGCGCTTTTTATTTAACTTCTTTTGGACTGATGCATGCAACACCGGCTGAGTGGCATTAAACAGCTTGAAAGATCAAAGACCATTTTTAATATAACTCCGACTGGATTCGTCTGAAAGAAGAAAGCCATATACACCTAGGATGCTTCGGGGGTGAGTAAAACACAACCTAATTTTCATTTTTGGGTGAACTAACCCTTTAACAACCAGATATCTGCAATCAAAATGAATATACTCACTTGGCAGCATGAAAAAGACTGGACAGCGAGTCAAGGACAAAGAAAGTGGCACTCTTGTCATTCATTTTCAGATTAAATTAATGCAGGATGATGTTTGACAGACCCAATAATCAATCTACCAGTAAGTAAGAGCAGCAGGAGGATACGATCCGTTGCTGGTGTGAGCCTCTGCCTCCAGTAAATACGCTTCTTTCGCCGGCTCCAGCTGTTTGGCATTTTTGAAGGCCACCGCTGGAGAAGAAGAGGAAGATCATCAGAAAACACCATCATGAGCTCAGACCACTGGACACAAACAACACCATCTGCTGCACTCACCTGCTTTAGCATATTCTGATGCAGCACTGTCATAATCAGGCTTCCACTTCATAAAGCTCGTCTGTAAACTGAGTTAAATGAGGGATTCACATCAGCAGTTTACCACAAAGCGTTTTATTTGAATGGCTACAGCAAATTAAACATGCTAACATGGGTTAGCGAATATAGGCTGGCTTTAACGTTACTTACTATTTTTCAGCCTTGGCGATGTGCTCGTGAGCTTCGTCTTCATACAAAAAAAAAAAAAAGACATTGTTGCTCAACTCCTCGAAGTCAGTTAAACGTCTCTTTACTTTCAATTTTACAATGGCTATAGACAAGAGCTGGTGGGAGCCGGCGAGAAACAGCGTTGATCCGTTCACTCGTTCAGCAGATTCACCAGTTCAGTCGAGAAGTGCTACCAGTCTCTCCGGAGTCCTTTACAAGCCCCTCCAGCAAATTACCCTTGCGACAGAGCCCGTAATTGCTGAATCATTAGAAATTAAGAAAGAAAGAAAAAACAACGGACCAAAAAAGGGAAAGAAAAAGTAAAAAGGAACGACTTGCATTACTGGTCCTGTACGTGTGCAGATACAGCACATTCCTCCAGCACACCTTCGCTTGTTTCCATCTACTTTATTCAGTAGTGCAAAACATCATCGTAATACTAGTCTGTCCTTACGCAGTTAAAGGTCATAAAAACACTTACCCTGGCACGGTAAATGCACACTCAAAAAAGGTACAGTTTTAATTTAAAAGACAGCAGTAGAGTAGATTACAAAAGTCAATCGGAGGGGAAACGAAAACAGCTCTATGAAACGGTACGAGCGGGAAATGCAAAAATTCCCATCCCAACAGTTCGTCGCTCCAAGCTGTTCCTCGAGTGCCCTCGGGTTTCTTAGAAATCTTACAAATCCAGTTCTGAGACTCTTAGTGCTGGTCGAGGGCAACTGCGTGCGTCTTTTGGGCTGATGATACATGGGGCAACTTTTTGAGCAATTTTGCAGGGCGGCTTTTTTTTAGCAATGTTGCTTGGGCACTTCCCCATTGAGAATGGGTAGCACACATTTCTATCTGGATACTTTAGATGGGTCGTGGGCCCTGTGTGTCACCTGGTCGCCCGCTGAAAGCAACATTAAAGGGTTAGTTCACCCAAAAATTAAAATTCTGTCATTAATTATTCACCCTCTTGTCGTTCCAAACCCGTAACACGTTTGTTCATCTTCGGAACACAAATTAAGATATTTTTGATGAAATCCGAGAGCTTTCTGCATAGACCGCAATGCAACTGAAATGTTCCCAGGTCCAGAAACGTAGCAAGGACATCGATAAAACAGTCCATGTGACATCAGTGGCTCAACTTCAATTTTGCGAAGCTACGAGAATACTTTTTGTGTGCAAAGAAAACAATAGCATGCATGCGCTTTATCCTGAACATAAACAGCGCTGATTATGTTCTGGGGTACTCTCCAAAATGTTGGAAGACGGTAACTCGGGGAGAAGAACTGTTGAATAAATTGTTATTTTTGTTTTCTTTGCGCACAAAGTATTCTCATATCTTTGCAAAATTGAAGTTGAGCCACTGATGTCACATGGACTGTTTTATCGATGTCCTTGCTACGTTTCTGGACCTGGGAACATTTCAGTTGCATTGCTGTCTATGCAGAAAGCTCTCAGATTTCATCAAAAATATCTTAATTTGTGTTCCGAAGATGAACAAACGTGTTACGGGTTTGGAACAACAAGAGGGTGAATAATTAAAGACAGAATTTAAATTTTTGGGTGAACTAACCCTTTAACCAAAGTTGCCTAGCAACATTGCTCAAAAAATTGCCCCGTGTATCATCAGCCTTAGAGTCCTCCTTTTCCGAGGCGTCTGGAAGTTCGTCAGGATCCCGTCAAAAAGGGAGTCCTCTGCCCCGAAGCGCGGCCGTGTTCACGTGGGGAACGTACCCGAGCGGAAGGGATTGGGATGGAGAAGTCCAGGCTTGGCCCGGAGGGGCCGGCGGCGGTCCGCTGTGATTGTACTCGAAGCGATGGTCCTTGTCTCCGCTGAACACCGCGCCGGCTCCATGAGCGAAGGCCTCCGGGCCGAGAGGCGGCTGAGGGGGCATCATGTGGCCGAGGTAGCTGTCTGCGAAGCCAAACGGCGGCGGGGGGCAGCTGAAGTCCAGCTCCGGAGGTCTGGGAGCTTCTCCTGGGGCTGCGGAGGACGTCAGAGCCGGATTGGTCTCGGGGGCTTGCCGGTAGTCCAGGTCTGCGCAGGGAGGCGGTTCTGGAGGTTCAGGGGGTCTCTGGTCCGGCGGGAGAATGGAGAGAGGCTCTAGAGGCCTGGAGGACGAGCCGCTGACTTCAGCTGCTGCAAGAAACACAACCGCAGGAGCTTACAGGGGCTGCAGCCCAAATCACATACTTCCCTGCTGTACAGTAGGCGAGAAGCAGTATACATTACATTTACACTGGTGGCTAACATTATTAGAATAAATGGTTTTAAAAATGGTTTTAAGTCAGTTATTTCTATTTTTTGCTGTAGTGTGTCAGTAGGAAATATCAGCTTACATTTCCAAACATTCATTTTGCCATTAATTGTAATAATCCAGTGAGATTTTTGTTTGCTGCACACAGAGATCTGATCTGATCATCATCAGTCTGCTGGAGTCACATGAAGAAACAGAACAAACTGAGACAGACTCAATCCAGAAGAACTGTGTCTCCGAGACGCTTCGAGAAACCTCCTGCAAAGCTACAGTACTGTTAAAAGTTTGAGGCACTTGTGCAAAAATGGTGTAAAATGAGGATGCTGTCAAAAATAATGTCATAAATAGATTTTCTTTATCAATTAACTTCTATTAACTAGATTAAAACAACACCTGGTGTGAGCATCCTTTGTGTTTAAAGCAGCTTTTTGCCCTACATGAGTTTTTCATGTAGCTTTGCAGGTAGGTTTCTTGAAGCCTCTTGGAGACGTTGCCACAGACAGACTGGATGATGATCAGATCAGAACTATGCCCTAATTCACAGTATTCTTCAAACAGTAAGCAAAAAATACCCAGATGACCTACTACTTCCACCGAGATTCTGCAGTGTGCATCCAGTGGACATTTATCTTATTGGCTAAAGGAGACAATCTGTGAATTAAAGTGAAACGAAGCCGGTAGGTCGCAGCAATGACGACATGACCAATGCAGTACATCCAGATTACATTCATACTATATGTGATGTGATCTAGGAAAACCCGTCGGATGTCACGCTGGGACGTTTTCAGGAAATAAAAAAAATAGGTCGAATGTCAATTTGTCGTCAAAATTGTTTTTTCATTAAATTATTATTCTATAACATCTCGTCTATCATCTCTGAAAATATGCTGCCAAAATTAACCGTTTAGTGCAGAAAAATAGTGACTAGCATTAAAGACTGTCTTTCTCTAGTTTGCCAACACGCGCTGCGGAGGTGCTTTCTCTTGACACTACAAAGACAGTTCACCTATCAAAATAAACTATGTATATAATAAAGGTGTATCAATGCATTTTCCGCTAGTCGTGTGTGAACTACGGCATGCAAAGTTCAGGGTAACATTAGCTAGTCTGCTTGTGTAATGAAGCAGTACAGCGCTCTTAAAGTGACCAGCACCATTTCCATATTAACACTATGCATTACTTTCATTTAGTTCAAACGGTGACAGCGTGAAATAAAACTACAAGTTTAGAACACAAAACTACAAGTTACAGTTCTGAACGGTGCCTGGTTATATATTATAAATCCAGAGTAGTAGAACAGGAGAAGAATTGAGATAACCTGCATGCTGTTAATCTGTGATGTTTTATTATACACTTAATGTTCAAATGTTTGCAAGTGCTGTGTGTTCCTTGGGGTCATTTTATATCTTTTACAACATGTACAGTGACTAAAAGAAGTCTTGTACCACAGTAAAGTGACTTTTACTTGCGATACTTGACTGTTGTGTTTTTATTTTCATTGCCTCGGTTTAAACATTTGATTTTATTTTTTTCAAAATTCTGTTCCTGAAAATCATGGTGATCAGCCAAATTCAGATAACCATAACTTTTGTTATGTTGAAGCTATGGACGAAATAAAAACAATTTTGGAAATGGCTTGGACACAGATTTTGTATGGTATCAAAACCAATAATAGCTCAAATTTTACAGTGTGGTAGGTTATCCTAGATTGCATCACATATAGAACTTTTTTTTTTTCAATATACTTTATTACAATAAAAATAATAATAAGATGAACTCAGATAAACCATATATTGTCGTAGTCGTGTGTTTATTAGTCGTGCTGAATCAATGAAAGCAGTTAAATCTTCTGTTTATTCAGCTAGTGCTATAGGGATTTCCTGGGTTTCTTCTGCGGGGCGTATTTGGCGTTTCAGTGCGAGCGCGCCCTCTGGCCTTCGGAGGGAGATTTACTGCTGATCACAGAACCGTGCTTCACTGAAAGATACGCGTGACTTATTAAAGCAATAAGCCCCAAGAAGCCGTGGTTTACAGTGAATTTATAACAGCTAAGGGGCGAAGCGGAGTGCCTACAACCCCCTTAGTGTTATAAATTCACTGTAAACCACGGCTTCACGGGGCTTATTGCTTTTATAAAACAGTTATTCCATATACGTAGTAAGGTTTCACAAAATAAAACAGAGCAGATAAAGTGTAATGATATTAATAAAAACAGTATTCTTCCACCAAACAATGTAGTTCCTCAGAATCAGATGTCGTTCCAACAAAGTGGTTGCCGAACAAAGGTGTGTGTTTGTAGAGTAATTTACAACAGCTTCGAACGCGGCTCAGCCAATCAGAATCAAGCACCGGAACTCTCCGTTTTATAACACAGCTTTTGCCTAATCACGATTGCGATTTCATTTCGATAAATTGTGCAGCTCTAGTTAAGACATTACCTGGAGATACAGGGCTGGGCTCAGGTGGCGGCTCCGGTGCGTTTGAGACGCCGCCCTCGGCCCCCTCGAACCCCATGACCTCTCCTGCCGCTCCCTGCTGGACTTTGAGGAGCTGAGCGAGGAGCATGGTGACGGCGGTCTGCGTGGCTGCGGCCGAGGCCTCTCCGTCGCCCGATGGCTGCGGGGATGGAGGCGAAGGCGGCTTCAGCATGGGTGGTGTTCGGGGTGGCTGCGGTGGTTTGGACACTTTGGGGAGCAGAGGCGGCTCCGGGGGTCTGTCAGACTCCAGCGGTCCGGGGGGCAAAGCCTGCGTCAGCTGCTGTAGCGTCTCCGGGTTCATCTTTGACCCCACGGTCTGGGCGAACTGCGCCGATCCCCCCGGAGCGCTTTTGGACTGCAGGAGGTTCAGAAGCACAGCCAGCTGTTCTTGAGTCAGTTGTGAGTTGGGAGCTTTGGGGTCTAAAAGAAAGAGACAAGGGAAGATTGAAT